CCGGTGCCAATGGGGTCCTCAGCTCACCACGAGAACCTCCCCAACAGCAGACACTCCATGAATGTTCCAGAAGTTATCACAGTGTGAGGGTGGCCAGTGCCAATGGGGTCCTTAGCTCACCACAAGAACCTCCCCAACAGCAGACATTCCACAAATGTTCCAGTTTAACTGAATTTGTCTCACTGGCACATGGACCCAATATACTGAGCAACTATGTAAATGCCATCACATTATCAACTTGGAGAATTCTCAGTTGTCTGATCAGGGTTAAGACACAGAACTAACTAGCTTAGTGTCTGCATACAGCTGGTCTACCACACGCCAGCCATCTCCTACGCACTCTCTCATCTCCTCCACACCACAGCCCTTTAAGACGGCATCTGCCCATTTTACACAGGAGGAAAATCATGCTCAGCGTAAGTAATGAATACACTTATCCAACTAGGGATGATGCCAGCATTGGAATTTGGTGTGCACCTGGCTTCAACGTCATCTGTAAATTTGGAACATGTGGCAGGAGAGGGCACTGACAAAGCTGCCCCCTCCTTGACCAAATATCTCAGAAGAAGATTCACGGGAGTGTGGGGCAGGATTCTTGGCCTGGACAGAAGAGTTTGGACACTGATTTCATTTTTTACTGCACATGGCAACAGACCACAATGAGTCAGACGTCGTCACAGTGCATTGCGTAATTCCAGGGGGGCATTCACAGCTCAGCTACTCTTGGTTATTTCCAGTTCAGTAAGAAATGGAAGAGATCAATGGCTTGGTGGGTTGAGTGGGGTGGGAAACACTTTTAACTCTTAATACTATTAAATATTTAACAGTTTTACAAGGAGGCAACGTTACAATCCATGACATAGACATACTTGGCTGCGGGTGCACTGGGATCCAGACTTCAACTTCCCCCAAACACTGATACATTTCTGACCCTGAAGTTTTATTTGAGTCCAGATATCCAAAATCTGCTTCAGCCAATCTACCCGAAGTCGTGTCTGTCAACAGGGAGGTAGAGCATCATCCATGCAGGCTTCAAAGTTTTAAAAAGAAAAGTAAATGAAGCCAGTTCAGGATAGGTCTTTTCTTTCTTTAAGGTGAGAGCCGGGGCACAAATGAAGCATGCCACGGTAAATAGGAGCTGTGCTCACTCGCAGTCATGCACTGTAGCCATTAAGCCTTAAGGTCTTAAGGTACCAGCAATGCATATGATAAATTTCTCAGAAACATCCCAGCCATAACATGGTTCTCGCTGATTGCTCATTTACCCATAATGCATGCTGTCATAGCAAAGCCTGACAAATGACAGAGTAAGCTCAGG